ATCATTTAAGAGTTCAAGTTGTTAAATGGGAGATTAATAAAATGTATCTTATACGGCACACATGTCTTCATCCTAACTTCAATTTTGCAGGATCTACACGGGAATACATGCACTCAAATCAAAGCCAAAGTTCAAAACAGGAGGAATTTCTGAGTCTACAACTGCCTTAAAAGTTGACCATCTGAATAACTCAGCTTATAGTGTTGATCCCAAGAATGCGGTATCAGGTGCAGCTCTTCCGCTTCCAGTTCCAGTGGTAGTCCCTTCTGCAAATGCCACCAATGGAGGAAATAATCATGATCAACTGGTTGACCTTCCTTCAGCCATGGATGCAGGAGTAGGTGCATCAGCAACACCTTGTATGCAAAAGAAGGAAGTTTTATTCGCCAAAGTTCCTTCTGACAAGAAGAAAATGGATGCAAGAAAGAAAAGCTTGAAGAGATTGTGAGGTTTTGTGTGTCTAGTGGCCCCAATTTTCACTTATTTGGTAAATGATAAAAGGAACAATGCATAACTGGCACTGTTATGTACCAATTGAGAGCTCCCTTCCCTCCTCTTTCACTCCATTTGTAGATCTTCCAATGTTTTTAAAGCATTCTGCAACGGTTGTCGCTCTCGGAAGAATTCCTTATATAACTTTTTCTAAAATGTTTTCTTTAGTTTGGTATTTATCTCCCTTTTGTTGCATTTACTTTGCCTTGTTTGTTTGTTGGAACTGATGCTGGTTGTATCATGTTTGTAGTCCCGTATCTGTAAGATCAAAACTTTTTTCACACACACATCTTATTGTATGCGATGCGCATATGCTGTCGTCAAAACTCATCTTCACTCAGTAATATACACCAAGGTAAGATGCTGCAATGGTAAATAAAAAGAAGCAGCCAGTAGCAAATTACTACACATGCAGGATTAGGACATGACATTAAAGAAAACCAAACGCATTCTCCATCAGTCAAACAACAGCTTACAGCTTTACAACCAACGTTTGCCAGAAAGGGCAAAATTTTGGAAAAGATTCACCCTATGACATAAAAAGCGAAGAACGGAAAGGGGAGGGGAGAAGAAAACTCGGACGTCATTACAACAGAGAGACCATTATGCTAAAGATGTTCAACCTTTAAAACCAGCAGACAAGTAGTAAAAGTACACTAAAAGCATTAAACCAGTTGAATCTTTTTCCACTCCTAAATGTAGATCTATTCAGTTTAATGCAGGATTGCAGGCAGGGATATCACTTGGCCATCATAACCTTGACAAACTCTTCATAGTTGATTTGTCCATCACCATCAACGTCAGCCTCTCTGATCATCTCATCAACTTCCTCGTCTGTAAGCTTCTCCCCAAGGTTAGTCATGACATGGCGAAGCTCAGCAGCAGAAATAAAGCCATTTTGATCCTTGTCAAAAACTCGGAATGCTTCTTTTAGCTCCTCCTCAGAGTCGGTATCCTTCATCTTCCTTGCCATGAGATTTAGAAATTCTGGGAAATCTATGGTCCCATTTCCATCAGCATCAACTTCATTTATCATGTCCTGGAGCTCAGCCTCAGTAGGGTTCTGCCCCAGCGACCTCATCACTGTCCCAAGCTCCTTAGTGGTGATGCAACCTAGAGATCAGTAGAACATTCAACTAATCAATGCAGACCTTCAATGGTACAAAGATTCTAAATATGATAACTCAGCCTGGGTAAGGAATGAAGATTGAGAATGAAATAAAAAAATAAAATTTTCAGCTATCTACACCATAACTTCTACAAACTAATTCACAGCTTGCAATGGTACAAATGATGCATAGCTATCCAAAAATTGACAAAACACACACCAACGTATCATTGCAAGCTAATAACAAGGCACACTAATATTTGAACATGCACACGTACGGTCATAATGACAAAAGATGATTCGATAGAGAAAAACATAGAGAGACACATTTTTTGAAACAAGGGCAGATTCAAATCCTGTAATGTTACTAGAAAAGTTTTAAGCCCATAACCACTGCCGTGATCAATGACCTGGAGTTCTGTAGATGCTGTTTATTTTCAGCACTCAGAGAGTAGTCATTAGCCAGAGAGGATGTGAATTGCTGGACTGGTGCATAACCACAACAATCATTGACTGTAACAATAGTTGACGACAAGCGGCAAAGCAGCATGCAGTTGCAAAGCGACATAAGATTGCTCACAACTCACAAAGACCAGTTATAGGAGGTCAAACAATTTCCATCACTAGCTCATTCAACCTATAACATACAGTTTCAAGAAAAGAAACGATTTCAAATTCAAAAAGTTTCGAACCACATAACAGAAAGCTGATCTTTGCCGGTGTTCAGCAAAAGCACCAATCGGTTAAAAAAAAAAGTTGTCAACTTTGTTGCTCGAGAGTCAAGAGCAAACCAAATGTACACCAGAAAAGAATTGACTGAAATTTGAAAGAAAATCAATGTGGCAAAGAAGAAGAGAAGGAATGATAAAGGAGCACTTTCGTAGAAATTCGGATTGATAACGTTCTTGCATTTATTGTTGTTCACAATTTTCCCTCGAAGAAAAGTTTCCCTTTCCTCCAAACGGGGCCATGAAAGTAGAGCCTGCTGTTAATTAATCTTTCTCCGCAGAGTAACAAAATTATGAGAATTAAAGGAAAGGGTTCATTAAAGCCAAATAAGTCAACAGCAGCGAGAAGGGTTAAAGAACCAACAACGACAAGATAGCATTATGATATGAATAGGCAACCAACAAAGAAATAATAGTAAAACAAGAACCCCCAGAAGAGAACCCACCCCATCCAACCCCCCAGATCCGATAATCATATGTAAATTATACTAGAACAAGTTTCAATCTGATCTCATGTAGGGACAAAAAGGGTACCATCTCCATCCTTGTCAAAAAGGCTGAAAGCCTCCTTGAACTCAGAGATCTGATCATCAGTCAGCTGATCAGCCATTTATCCTTTTATTTTTCCTTTTTTCGGTTTAATTTAATTATTTCTCAGGATGATGATGAGGCCACAAACCAATCGATAGATGAAAAAAGGAACACCAAAGGGTATGGAACGAGTGAAGGAAGGAAGAAAGAACGGAAGGAAGGATGGAAATGGATGGAAGGTCTGCAGCTCTTTCGGCCTTGAGAAAAGGGACTATGAATTTATACTACTCGTAGTCCATAGTCTACCACTACCCATGAAGAAAAAAAAAAAAAAAAATTTGCAATTTCCGATAGAAAATGGATAGGAGCAATAAAGTAGTAGGAGACTTGGAGTAATAAATTACTATTTCGGCAGTTATATTCAAATTTTACGTAATTGTTACCATTGGTTCCGTTTGAATTAGTTATTTTTAGAATTATTTTAAAATATTTTATTATAGTAATATAGGTGAACAATTTTTACTGTAAATAAGACTGTTTTGAGATTTTTTCTTATATTTTTAAGTTGTTTATAGTAATTTTGATATTATTTTTATTTGTATATTACTATAACATAGTATATAAAAAAAATTTGTTTTAAAAAAATGATCAATTTAACAATTTATAAACTGTTAGTATAAAAAATATTAATATATATTGACATTGTCAAAATTATATATATATATATATATAAAATCTTACTCTAAATTAATTAATCTGCAATGGACCCTGCCGCTTGGGGTTTACCACTTTGCCCTCTACAGTAATGTATTGTTCCCCCAAGTTTTAGAAAGTTTTTTGTTTTCGTTTTAAAAAGATTTCATATATTTCACATCAGTCCCTGAAATTGTTAGTTCTAATCTAAATCACGTCATCTTCAGCAGCTAGTGTTACAATTTTCTTTTATTTCACAAACGTGGGACTACACGTTTGCTCCTAAATCATTGCTTTCAATGAAGGCATAGAAGTTGTGAATTATGCACTTCCTATATGACAAAGATAAATTCAACTTGGTGGTGGTTGGTCTAATTATACCATATTGCAAAACATTAATAAATTTTGGTGCCACTGATCCAATTAAACAATGAAGGGACAAAGTGAGAATTATGTAATTTTGACGGTGCGTTTTGTAAATTATAATTAACCCTTTTTGACATGCACATGAAAGGTGAGTTGTGTCTTTGAGACAAAAAAAAAAAGTTTGATAGTGATAGTTCTAGAGCAAAACAATCACATATGGGTCATATTAGAATTACCATATTGCAATGGTGGGGATATTTTATTAGAAGAATCACATCACAAAGACAAAGTACGTTGACAGTCCGTGTTTCATTCTCTTCCACTGGCATGGACGCGGTTCCGCGCTTCTCACGCGGTGGCATTGTAAGTTCACTGACAGGCTAGAGCTATCAAAACGAACTGGTAAGTTTGATATTTTAGATTCTTTTCAAGTATTTTCACTGAAACTCTTGTTTGGATAGAGAATATTATTTAAAATAATTATTATAGCACTTTTTTGTGATGTGATATATGTAAAATAAAAAAATAATTGAGAATATAAAAAAATGAGTTGAAAAATATATTTATAACACAAGTGAAATATTATTTGCAAAATTTTGATATCCAAACTCGTTTTATTCGAATTAAAACCCAGATTCAAATCAAGTTCTCTCAAAATCCATATATATATATATATATATATATATATATATATACATGCGTGCACACACACACATACATATGCACACACAAAAAATTTATAAAAATAATCTAATATTCTATACCATTATAATTGGTACAAATATATTTTCATGAAAAAGAAAAACATAAAAGTAAACAAATGAAAGATTGAATAAATTGGTGGGTGAATCAACTGCTGACATCCCTGCGCCAATATATGGTCCAAAAAATTAAATTTCTACCCCTACAAACCTTTTGGTTTTGAAAAATGTTCTTCATCCAAAACAGTTCAAAAACTTTATGCCGACTCCAAAATCCATCTATGGTTGTCTCTGGTGATTATGATGTTGGGTCATGATTTGTTTGTTCTTTTATAAAAGAAATGGTATCAGCCGAAGGAATCAAAAAATGTTTCAAATGCATAGTAACAAAGGAAAGGTTACTGGTATAAATTGTGAAAAATAATTTCCAAAAATTTGCCGCTGACCCCTATTGCGGTTCAACAATAAAGCCAGCCAAAGAACACTCACATTACGCCCGGAAAATTCACATTGAATGGCTCTCAAAACTATCAATTAATTGTGCTTTAACTTGAAATCCCACCCACATTTCGGTTCTGGAAATTCACACTATTCAGTTCTAAATAGACCACAACTAGACAGTATGCAACAAATATGGGAAGCAACCATATAAAGGACCGGCTGGGATTTTGTAGTTCAAAGACATTATTCTATCTACGCATTACACGGTGCCGTTCTCGCCTTCGGAACCGCTCAAGCATGAACTCATCCGTGGCAGCCTGTCTTTGAACTGCTGCCTCCGCACCTGATTCCACCGGTCTAGACTCCTGATCGCTTTTCTTTAGATCCTTGTCTTTGTACAACTCTGGATGTTCTGCAAAATTTTGTAGCTCGGTTCAATGGAAACCACAACAATTAGGAAAGGGAACATGGATGTAGAAAGGCAAGTCATATGCAAAGCAGGATCAACATAATGTGCTTTAAATCTTGAGAAACCCACCACTAGGCTACCTCATTGCCCTTAATCTTTATGCTTACAAAACTTTGATGCAATTGAGTAAAACTATACATGTGAGGTGTTCAAATTCATTATTTTGAACCAATATACAATATCACCCATTTGCCCACAACCCAGCTACGTCGGGCCACAACATTATTCACTTCTAAGACCAACCCCCTGCCCTCAACATAAAAAGAAGGGGAAAAAAATGTTAGTATTACATCAGGTTTGTCAGAACATATATGCTTTCCCATACATAGCACCCATCTACTGCACAAAAGGATTGATTGGAAGGAGCGTAAGGGCTTTAAGGGGTGATTAAATCTCCCAATTGTTATTGGAGGGAAAGGATGGGTGCTACAAGCAGGGTTTACCAAATGAAGCAGGGCCAAAACAATAACCATTATCCCCAAATCTATGCAAACAAGAACGGATTTCAGATACCATAGCAAATATGGAGGGAAAAAAAAAACCCCTTTGGCAAACATGAACAGGTACAGATTTGCAGAATAGAGTGGCAAATGCCACAGCAATGTAGATCAGCTCCTGTAAGAAGTTATTTTCTAGAAGTCACTAGGCTAAGTTAACTAAGCTGTTGCAATGGAGGATCTGAGGGGTAGAAAGTCTAGTTAAACTAACCTAAGAGCATCTCCATAAGAATAACCGGTAAATCAGAAATATGTACTGTCACAAGCACATATTCCAAAAGATAACCATTTAGCACGTGTACAAATCTTATGCACAAGGAACCTGATGAACGAAGCATAACCTATTTCCTTTTTTTCTTTTTTAGCTTATTTTAATCATTACTTCTCTTACTTCTCAAAGGTCATCCTCAGTTTTCCTTACCATTCTAAATACGGCCAGATCTGCTTCCAAAAAATTTCTGATCTTTTATATAACGATATGATACAACAATCAATGAGTATGCGTCCAAACACAAAAGTTTCGCATACAGCTAGTCTTCCAATAATGTGTAAATCACGTAAGAAAGTTTCCTACTTGTGGTATAAGATTTAAAAAGGTTCACTTGAATGCGTAATATCAAAATGTATTCAACCAACTACAAAAGGATTAAGTTAGACTGGATTCCCTCAAGGTTTGCCAGGTACTCTTTCCTCTCCCTTCACCTCACCTCCTCGGCTGTCTTATCTCTTCCCCTTGAAGACCCCCCACCTTTTGGCCAGTCTAGTGAGGAACCATCTCAGACCATAAAGTGAAAAAAAAAAAAAAACATAAATGCGGCAACGTGTACAGAATTGATAATACACAAATCTGGAGTCAAGTACAAAACCATTTGCACTTTAAGCCTCTTATAAAAATATATTAAAGTGGGTGTCCCTTCTTTTTGGAGATATCTACCTATAATTGCTGCTCCTACAGTTCGAATAGAAAATCATTGTAGAACTAATATTATAACTCTAGAGGTTTACACTTTCTTTACACATGAGAGACGTCATACTAGATCATTCAATATTTGTTTCCAATGAGATCCCATCTTCAGAAAATTAAATCAATATACATGAAACAAAAGAAATAGAGGTCGTAAGGCAATATCACATATATAACAAGGTTAAATGTTTAACGCAATTTAGATTTTATTCTATAATCACTCACAATCCCATATTATATCAAGTAATAGAGTATTTTCCATTTCCAATCTAATCAAACTAGAGAATGAGCTAATTAATATGGCACTTTTTGCTATAGTTGAAAACTGCCCAAGTGAACAATCGATTCACATAACCAAGCTAGTTTGGTTTTGTTCAGACAACTTATATACTGAAGTTAACAGTTCAGCTTGAAAGAGCAACTAAGGGTGGTGTTTGATAACCCCATTAAGCACTTAAACTTAATGGATTAAGCGTTTTTCCTATTAAGTTTGTTTGATAACAAAACTCCACAACATCTGAATCCATTAAGAGACACTTAATTTCTTTGAAAAATTTTAAGTGAAAATTTAATCATTTAATTTGCTGAATGTTTGAACTAGGATAACATTATTCATCAAAAATATTATTTCACAAACTAGCACATTTTCATACATGCACACAGCCTCTTTCTCTTTCACACACACGCACACACATATAGTCTCTCTCACGTACACTTTCTCTCTCTCTTTGACACACACACTCTCTCCCTCTCACATATACTCTCTCTCTCTCTCTCAGGCACACTTGTCTCTCCTCTCTCTCTCTCACACGCTAACATTTGTTGTTTAGCATATTTTATTTCAAACATTACTCGCTTATTATACATAGACATGCATTTTTGTTCCCAACATGCATTTGCATACATAAACACAATACACTATTCGTATTGGAATTTCAGTTTAACAATATTAATGAGTGATATTTAAACTTTATAATTTGTGTATAATAAAATTTTCTCATCCAGTCCATATAATTTATGTATAATAAAAGTTTTCATTCAGTGCTCAAATTCAGCAGATTATCAAACCGGTTTGACTTAATGAAATCAGCAACGTCAGTACTTAAATTTCAGCCTTCAAATTTCAGTTTTATCAAACACCCATAAATCAAATGAAATTGAGCCATGGATCAGCCTAACCCCAGATCCCACCATTCCAATCTACAACCCTCAACTAACCCACAGCAAACCTCCCCCCAAAAGAAAAAACTCTCTCACCTGCTCGCTAACCCTTCATCTCCTTCACAAACTTGCCTGCCACCCATTGACCCCAGTCTTCCCCATGCTTGTCCCTCTCCCTGAAAAAGAATCTAAGCTTGATTTGCCACTTCATGGAGGCATATATGGCATTGACATTATTCTTCTTGGTTTTGAGTGATGATATCAGGTGGGGTAAAAACTATCATACTGAGGCTAATGGCAGAGGCTGAGGATAGCACAAATGATCAGTGCCAAGTGTTGCAATATTCCCTAAGCAATCAACCAGGCATGCAAACATACTCAGGTATACATACATACTTAGGCAAACATCAGATCATAGAACCAAATAAGCATTTTAAGTGAGTAAGCCACAAACCTCTCCTAAGCTTCTTGGCATAGTCCTTCCCACGTTGCAAGTAATCTGCACTGTAACTTGAGGGAATACTAGAGTCAGTTTTGGTGCGACCCATGAGCCTTTTTTCTTGTAAGAGCTTTTTGGCAACCTCAGTTTCCTCAATATTCCTCAATTTGTATCTGTCACAAATGGGAGAATTTGAGCACAACTTATTGCATAGAGATCTGCAAGTTGAACCTATCTGTATAATGTTTCAACAGAAATTAAGATGTTCTATTCTTGACACAGACAACAAATGCCACCTCAAGACATTTTAGTTTTCCCAACCAAAATTAAATAAAAAGTTTGCAGTAGAGATACATCATGTTGTATAAGACAAATTAAGATATGCCTAGTCACAGTGAGGAAAATTAGCATACTCCATGGGAAGCTGAACCTCGGCAATACCAGTAGTCCACTGCGTAGAGCTTTCCTCTGAATTTCGCCTCTTAACCTAAGGGAAACATTAGGACACTTCATAAAAAGAATATTAAGTAGATAAATCTTAAAAGGATATTGAACACAATAAAGTGGGAAAAAATGACTAATTTCAGTGACCACAACTCCTTAAGTAGATGGTAAACTGAATGCCCCATGTACAAAATCTGCACTTGATTAGGGCCAAAAAAGTACATAGTACAATTTCTTTGCTTTCGATTGATGCTGCAGTAATCATCTACAAAATCTTACTTTTACAGTTATACGCATGTGGTATGATACCAAAAAAGTTCTTCACTAAGTTTTTATGGCCATTCGTCACTTTATGAAAAGGTTGTTTCTGTATCCCCATACAGTTTTCAGCCATAAGCAGTGACTAACTATTTTTGGAAGGTATTGATCCTTTTATCCAAGGGGAATAGCTTCTCATCACATTGCAGCAGGGACATTGGGCATATTCGCTTTTAAATTAAAATTCTGTCCTCTTAGTATTAATCCCTCAAGAATAAACTATTTCCTCTGTAAATCTCCCACCTTTATTTTCTGTACCATCTTAACAGGACAATAGAAGTGGAACAGCATATTGGCTTATTGTGTTAGAAAATATAATATCGGTATTCCTAGCCTGAAACTGAAAGACTGAGGAAAGGGTACGCACATGTAGGTACAGACGTTAATTTTTTAAAAGATCTACACTGTTTGTCCTTAACGCATCACGTCATCCTCCATAAGGAGACTCTGCAATAAGGTAGAGATTTTCAATTTGAAGAATAAACTTGGAATTAATGTGAAAGACAAGACAAAAGGCTCTATCTTACTTAACCAACAAAAACAGATATATGAAAGAAAAAAATAAACTATTGACATCCCTTTTTAAATGGGAAAAAGAAATGAAGGATTGATGCAATTAAAAACTAATACAAAACCTTAATAGAAAGAAACCTAAGAAGATTATTTGCGGAAAAAATTTGTGTTTTTGTTTTGTAGAGACCACTCATCAATTACTTCACCTGTGACATGTAGTGAAGTCAAGTAGCACAAAGATGAGTGTTATCTTCAGTTGAAGGCCAGGAAGATAACCTTAAGACAAAGAATTACTAAATTAGCTAAAACCACTCATGTAGCACTCGTCAATTACTGCACCTGTGACATGTAGTGAAGTCAAGTAGCACAAAGATAAGTCTTATCTTTAGTTGAAGGCCAGGATGATAACCTTAACACAAAGAATTACTAAATTAGCTAAAAGCAATCAAATTTGCAGTTGAGGTTCTTTTTCTCTCATTCTTCTGGTTTTTAAGGAAGAGCAAAAGAATGTAGCACACTTACTTTAAGGTGCTCTGGAATTTCATAGAGTTCATCTTCTGCACGTTTTATATCAGTCTCAACTTCATTCTCTACACCAATATTCCTGCCTCTTTTCTTCGCCAATTCTTGTTCAACATATCTCAACCTGCTCATACAAGAAGATAGCAATCAATTGCAGCATCACATTGCCTATCTATCTTTATGAATTTCTGCTTTATTTTGTTCATTGCCTCTGTCAATGACAACTGTACAGACATGTAAAAAGCAAGAAAAATGGACAGTTATGTGCATTTAAGCTGTCAAAATTGTCTGAGACAGGTGCAAAAGGGTTATTAAAATTGGTTGGTTTTTTATGGTTCTGAGTCAAAACTTTTGTGCATTTCCAGTTTCATCAGAGTGTTAAACATTTTGCTTACTTTGAAATGCAATCTGGTTGAATCAGTTATCAGACCAGGTCTTCCTTGGCTTCGGATTTTGTTGACGTGGATTAAGCTTTTTGATAGATTTCAAGTCAACAAAACTCAGAACTATGGATAAGGAGCAAGAAGTGATTTCATGTAATTTTGAGGAGCTTGATGCTGGAACTAAAAAAGCCATGGGAGATCCCCCATGTGGGCCAGTGAGATTTTGAGAAAACACAGCCCATATTTGGAGTGTGCAAAAGGATTTGAGCCAAACTTTAACATATCTCTCTGATATTGTAAATTTTATTTCTGGTCAATGCAAAAAAGAATTACCAAGAGACCATGAAGCTTCTAGCATTTCATAGTAATTAAAAATACCCTGTCATTTCCACAGAGACCGATCTGTTCCTACTGAGAAAACTAGCAACAAAACAAAAAATGGAGATTTTGGACAAGTACACAAAAATTCCATAATGTGATAATATAAACACATGGAGATAAATATATTAAAGAAAAATACCTTTTCACATGGGAATTTACTTGACGTTCCCTTCTCCCCAGTAGTTTCAGTTTATACAGTTTAAAATGTTGACCTATTTTTCCCACATCTAGCATGATGACAAATTGGGTTTAAATGAAAACCAACCCAAAAAGTGTAACTTAGGGAGTCAGAGAACCTGAGGATTGATTGTTTGTAACTAAACTTTGAGAATTATCTATGTAGAAGCATATAAAGAAGAAAGAGCTCTAAACAAAAACATACAATGAAATGAACAAGTCAAAAGAGAAAAAGAAAATAATGAGTACAGAAGATTTCATACATATTAGGGTCTTCAACCATCACAGCAGTTTCCTGAGCAAAAGTATCCTGCAAAACCAAGTCATCCTTCTCCCCATCCCCATCAGTCTTGTCATTTCCTTTCCGGATCAAACCACCACTGTTGCCGTTGCTAGCCCCACCCACCTGAGTTGTCATAGAGATGGCTGGAATTCCTGACTTTTTCTCCCTCTGTTTCTGAAGGAACTTCACCTCCTCTAGCACCAATCTAAATGCATGTTTTAGCAGCACTTCCAAGAAGCATCATAAGAGTAACAAGACTAGCAAGTTAACGGTACCTCCTTTCTTGGTCATCATCTGAATCGCTTTTGCTGTTATGAACAGAGTCTTCCCCTGATTCAGCTGTGCTCCTTTTGCGAAAATTCTTCTCCTTCATCTTGTTTTCTTTTGTGTTCGAAAAATTAATCATACACATATATCAGCATTGTTTAAAGCTCAAAGAACAGAGAATACAATGAAATAATTCAAATCTCTGCAGAATTCATTGACTGCTTCACAAAAAAATTTCCAATCCAAAAGTCAAAGCTTTAACACAGAACCATTAGTGATCATGCACGTTAATGTATTAGCACCAACAGATAAATACAAGAAAGACCATAACTAAGAACCTGTTATATCAGTTTTGTCAAAAGTGATCACATAGTATATTCATCTTTTCGGGCTCTTCGCTAAGCATGAAGGGTTCCAACATCCATTGGAGGAATTAGAGGAAGCATGTTGGGTCATGCACTGGCTGGGTGATGAGGAGAGAGATAAATTTCATCTGTAGGCAGGGAAGGGGAAGAGAGCTGTATTTGAATATGTGAGAGCAACTTTCTAAGAGTCACGTTCTTCAAACAGTATTTAACGAGAACATTAGCCCAAGTGAATTCATGGAAAACTTGTGTCATCAGTGAAGAAAGAGAATATTAGCCCTTTTTGAGAATATAACAAATTGTCACATAACTCAAAATTGTCACATTTTGAGAATATCACTCTTCAGAAAATAAAGAAAAAGAATATTAGCCCTTAGGGATTTATGTAGGAACTAATGCCATAAATTATCTAATAATTGCCATGTCTAGAAGATTCAGTCTCCTATGGAAATGTAAAATTCAGAAAAATCTTCTATTTGATACACCTCAAAGATCTTAATTATACAACACATATGAACTCCTTAAAGAGAATGAAGAATGGATAAACTGCAGCCATAATTAGAGCTGTCAATTCCCACCTATTGTGCAAACCTCCTCAAACCTACCCTATAGATTGCCAGCAAAAAACCACTACCATGCCATCACAGCACCAACACAGGTCAGCCACCAGACATAAAATTTTTCAAATCGGCCATGATCAACTCTCAAAAATCAATAAGAATTCTTGAGCAGGTCTATAAGCAGAGCTATGATTATGTGTTCATAAGTAAGAGAACGAAGTGACTTGCTAGAGATCCGAACTAGAAATAGGAATGACATAACAGAAATAGATGAAGACTCGAACTGAAAAAATATTGACTAGCAACGTCTGGTACCTAAAGAATTTGTAGTTTGAGAAAAGACAATGAAATGAGGGAAGATCAGAAAGTCACATAACTTTAAAACTGGCAAACTAACCGTCAGCGAGTCTACCTTTTCTCTACCTGTTCCATTTACATGAAGAAACAACCAGGAAGAAGTCTTTGAACACAAGGCTTTCAATCACAAGGCTTGCAATCACATCAGATAGATGGTTGGACAAGCATGAATGAGAAATTTTAGGCATTCCTTCCGGCCTCCCCGCCCCCCCCCAACCCCCAAAAACAACACACAAATAAAACCGAAAAAAAAAATAAATGAGAACAGGATCCTTAGCCGACATTGGCATGCTAAATTGCTTGCTATTTCCCAAACGCAAGAGTCATAAATTAAAAAAATATATATTAAGATGTTACAGTTAGCTATTACCCAGAAACAACTAAACGAAATTTAGATGCGAACTTACCTAGCCAAGGGAGCTGTTATGCGTTCTTCGATTTCTCAACGTCCACGATACAAAATTGACTAAGTTACTGACCGAGATAACTTGCAGAAGGGGAATTAGGGTTGAGGACAACAAAACTGTGAGGACTTACAAAGGCAGAAGCTGCAAGTGAAGAAGACGACGACGAAGCAGAATGAAAAACGAGACACAGAGAAAGAGAGACTAACCGGTAACCATCTACCATTTCTCGGAGATCGGGTATTTTGTCGAACTATTGAGGGCTGGGCTTGGGTCTAAAAACAGGTTTAGACTAGAATCATATTGGCTGGGATTTGGGTGTGCTGCAACCCAGGCCCACTTCTCAAACCCAGTTGCGTCCTAGGTATACCCATCTATTTTTTTACAAACAAATTGTGACAATAAAGCCTGTTTGGATTCCATTTTTTGGGAAGTCTTGGGAAAAACATTATTGTGGCACTTTTTAAAAATGTGATGTATATGAGATAAAAAAGTGATTGAAATTTATGTTTAAAAAATATTTATGAAAAGTGAAAATTTTTTCTTGAAAAATATCACAATCCAAACTAGGCATATATATTTCTGTGCATGTAAAACTTTGAACTTGTAAGTAGGACTGTCAATGGGGTTAGGTCAGGCCAAACTTTGCTCGTTTAGCTCGATAAAAAGCCCGATGAGTTAGATCTTTTAGTGAATCGGTCTGAGTTTAACCCTAAAAATTAGATCCGAATTAAATATGAGTCGAGTTTGAGTCTTATTAGGCTCAAACCAGATATAGGTCTGGGCCGTCTGGCCCTTTAATTACCTATATATATAATATTTATATTTTGATATTATGTATAATTATATATCCAAATATATATAAATTACAAAATATAAAAATACATCTAAAGACTTTTTCATGAACTTTCTTAAGAGCCAATATTAGTAATGCATAACTGAATCTCTAACTTTTCTTATTGGTTGAGTAAATTTTTGTGTTGGCATAATATTGATTGATTTTTTTTTTTGTCTATAAACACAAATCATCAAACATGTTTGGATTCAAATCACAAGATTATAAAAATAAAAAAAAAAAGTTTCAACTTTTAAAGATGAACTGACTTATGATCGTGTGTTTTATTACTATTTTTCATGCATTTTGAATGAATTAAATATAAATATTGTTGAAGAACTTTTGGTTTATATACTTTTTGAGAACTATTATTGGTTCATGTTTAGTTTGAATATTATAGTCTTGTAAATGTTAAATTAGTTTTACAACTTAATAGTTATAATAATTATATTAAGAAAATTAATGAGTAATAAGTGAGTTTGGACTAAACCCGATTAAGGCTCACAACCCGAATATTATGTGAGTTAAGTATGAGTTTCACATTTATGAATCCGAAACTCATAACCTAAAACCAGAAAATATTCCAAATTAAATGAACTGAACTTGATGTTATAAAAGTTTGGCTCATTAGACCCGATTATAGGCCTACTTGCAAGTAGGGATAAGAGACGAACTTATAGAGTTTTTGGATTACAACTCCGGCAAAATAAAGATTTTTTTGGAATATTTTTTGATATGCATTTTTGAAATACTTTTTTTTACTTTGCATATAAAATATTACTACAATAATATATTTTTTTTAAAAAGTAAAAACTTACAAGCGAAATAGGACCTTAGTATGTCACATGATGATGCCCAACTTGGGTTGAAAATTTGCAAAACCGGTACATAACTTGGTATGTGATGTTTTAGTATAATGTCTTCAAGTGCCCAACTTGGGTTGAAATTTTGCAAAGCCGGTACATAACTTGGTATGTGATGTTTTAGTATAATGTCTTCAAGTGACGTGCATACCAATTACCAAAGACGGTATTATAATTTTCAAGTAATGAAATTTATCTTAAAATGAAAATTTGCTCTCCCTCCCTCCCTCTTTCTTCTCTTCCATCCTCTTCTCATTCTTTCTCCGTCTATCTCCTCCACTCCCTTTCCCTCCCCCCCTCTCCTTGGCACCATTCCCCTTATAAATGACGACCAAAGGGGAGGAGGAAGAAGGAAAATGAGAGGGAGAAGACAAGACGAGTGAAGAAAAAAAAGAGGAGGTTGGCATCGACTAGCGATCAAGGTGGTGGTGGTGGTGGTGGATTGAGGGAAAAGGAGGAACAAGAAGAAAGGAATGAAGGAAATTTTTTTTTTGTGTTTTTTGGAATTTTGAAGTGTATATTTTAAAACTTTAAGGAGTTTTTTAAGGTTATTGTAATTAAATTTTTTAAAAAAAAAACTTGTAGAAGAAAATTTGGTAAAAAAAAATCATTTACCAAACAAGGCCTGAGATTTCACTGGATCACTAGTTTAGTCAATGTTGATGATTTTCTATCACTCTCCGGCTTTGGCATACAACTAGACCAAGGTTACCACCGATTTGCATTTCAATCAATCAAACCGGCTAGCCTGTTTGAATCTAAAAACACATCATAATGGCATATATTAGACCTAATACTTGGGTGGATTAGGCAATTTTTAGGTTATACCCATCTTGACGTTGGATTGGATCATATTAGGTCAATTTAAATATAAAATCACTTAAATATAACCCAACATGTTATTTCATATATTTTAATACATAACTACAATGTTGCCCGTGCCTTAGCATCGTCATTTTTTATTTACTGGGAATATATACAAATACAAATAATTTAAATACAAAAATTAACAACAATTTTACATGTTCATCTATATTAATTTGAAAAAATAAATGTACTCTAAGGCTCCGTTTGATAACACTGCATCTGAATTCTGAATACTGAAATAATTAATTTGCTGAATTTTAAGCACTGAAAAGAGATATATGAATGTCTGAATCTTAATGTTGAATCTATTTATATTGTTTGATAAATATTCATAACTTAATGCTTAATAAGCTAAATTGTACAATTTTGCCCTTCTATCTTTTAATCCAAAAAGGGAATAGAACCTATGATTTAATTAACTTAAAATTGTTAGGTATGAAAATGACAATGATTGTGAAGAGCAATGCATACAATGACAATGTTTCTTTGTGTGGGAAAAGGGTATGGTTTCATCGTTTTGAGAATGGGAAAACAAGCTTGTAATATTCCAAAAACACGTTCAATTACATTTCTCAATCTTGCATGTACTTGGTTAAAGCGTTCTTCTTTTGATATTGGACGAGAAGCATTTCGAAAATCAGACAACCAATATCTAATATTTCGATATGGTGTCATAAAGCCACGTGTGTGTGGATAAGCTGCATCACATAAATAATATTTATCTGCACAAAATATATATATATATATATATATATATATCAAAATATAAATATTTGTGGATGAAAATTATTGCAAAAAAACACTATTGTTAAAAAAAAATTTTTGAATAGAAAATATCAGGTTGTTTTGTTTAATTAGATAAGGATTTTGAATAGGGATTATGAGATTGTTTAATTAGATAAGGATTTTGAATGTAATTAACAAACAGGGATATATTTGATAGATAAGATAAAGTAGTTGAAGTAAATCTCTTGATTCTTATCAAATTAAGCATTATGCTACAATTCTTGTGCTGAAAAAAATACATACAAATTCATCACCACTTAATAAGTTCAGCAGGTGAATTTTTATTTATCAAACACCCACAACATCTGAATGTCTGAATGAATTCAGTTTCAGCACTTTTTATGTTATCAAACAGGCACTAAATGTTCAATTATTTACTAATTTTTAAAAATTTGTTTACATACTTTCACTATAATATGATAGTATACATCAAATCTTGTACTCCATATTAAAAATTTAGTAGATATTCTTTTTTTTTACAAATATTGTTTTAGATAATTTAAATTTTTATAATAACCATAGGTCTAAAACTATATATTCATATTTAATTAAGTAGAAAAAATACAACAATTCATTTTTTATCAATAAATATTTAATTTCCAACAATATTAATAAATCTATCAGTATAACAGTTAATTTTTTTTTGCACTAAGTTAATTCAAAATTAAGAAAAGAAATGATGAACAATTTGAATACTAATCACGGTATGGTAGTGAAAGAAAGTAATTTGAGATATGTAGATTTCAATAATTATAATTTAAAAAATATTTTACTATAATTCTATATGTAATAATTTGATAGAAAACAAAATCATTAAAATAAGATTACTTGTTTTTTAAAACAATATCTTTAAAATAAGATTAGTTAGTTTTAAATTTATATTAAAATTAGAGATAATTTATAAACATATAATATAATCCAATTGTGATTTAATATCGGTAAAACTGAAATGATTCGTAACCCGTTAATTCTCTTCAATTAAGCATGTCACGTAGGAATGAAAAACAACTCTGATTAAAATAGATACTTTCATATATATATATATGGGAAAATCTTTCAAAACATCCATCGCATTTTGTAAAATGACTTCTTTCGACCCTCACATTCAAAAATATATTTTTACGTCAATTACAAATTTACATTGATCAAATTTGGTTCCTACCTAGATTTTCGACTAGTTTTTTACCTGAATTCATCACGTGCCTTGCATGTGATCATTTTAGGGATAAAAATTAACAAATTAAAATTTAAATAATTCGATCTATAGTTCCTTACATTTCACAAAATAAATTGTTTCGTCCCTCACATTTTACAAAATAAATTTTTAATCTCTCACATTTGACAAAATGAATTTTTTCATCCCTCATTGACCATGTGTATAAATAGTTTTTTTTTTAAATCCATATATATATCTATTTAATTTCATCTGAACAATACGAATAGCATATAATATATCTCTATGTGATTTCACCTAAACAGACTAATTGTAATTATATACATGCTATTCAATAAATATATATATGGGTTTAAATCTAACAATTGTGTTTTAAACCCCCTCCCACACAACACACACACACACACACATATATATATATATATATTTGATAATTTTGATTATACCATGTGAATCTGTTCAATATTTGTAACATTTCTCTTTTTATAATAATTCATTTATTGAGTTGTGTAATAAGACCATCTAATTAATTGATCTTATTTCGAATTCTATAGTCATATTAACAAATTATAGTTTAAATCTGAAATTTTTACTCGCCACAACAGTTGAATTTCTTATCTTGTAATTGATTTAAAATTTGAATGTGTCAATCACTTATTTCTTTTTGTCATACTTTTCATTTGTTTATTTTTTCTGTCTAAATTTAATTCGATATAAACACTTGATAATGTTTAGAATTAACTGTCTTTTTTATTTTCAATTTTCGAGTAAAGGGAAATAAACATGAGTGAAAAACTAATAATTTTTTAAACTCTTATATATATCTATTTAATTTCACCTAAACAGTATATTCTGACAAAATCAATTAGAGATATATTACATGCTATTCGTATTATTCAGGTGAAATCAAATAGATATGTATATATATATATATATATATATATATATATATGAGTTTTAAAAAAAGTTGTTCGCACACATGATCGATGAAGGATGAAAAATTTTATTTTGTAAAATATGAAGAATGAAAAAATTCATTTTGTGAATTATGAGGGACAAAAAAGGTTGTTTTATGAAATGTGAGGGACAATTGATCGAATTATGTAAATTTTGATTTAAAAATTTTACCCTTAAAAAATGATCACGTATAAGGTACGTGGTGGATTCCAACAAAAAACTAGTCACAAATTTAGATAGGAACTAAATTTGATCAATGTGAATTTGTAAGGGACGTAAAAGTACACTTTTAAAAGTGAATGATGAAAAAAATCATTTTATAAAATGTGAGAGATGTTTTAAACGATTTTCCCTATATATATATATATATATATACACACACACACACACACTCCTTGGATGGGAACACATCATTTTCACACTAAAACACATACTAACATACTTTCACACATATAGACACACACACACACAAATTTTTGAAATTGTTTTGATGGACACATTATTTACGATTTGAATCTATAATGAGGTCAATTAGCATGCTTATAAGATATCGTGGAGAACACCGCGACACCACAATCTTATCCCCTCAATTGCTAATCACCAGCCGTCATAATTAATAGTTAAAAAAAATACCCCCAAATTCCTCCATTCATGAAAAGGTCTGCCTACATCAAATACATAATTATTAATTAACATTCGGGATAATTGCAGAAACCTCAGGGGAGGTTTCTGACACTAGCACTCATCTCCCCTATGATTTCTAAAATTGCACTAACCTCACTTGGGAGGAAATTGGACCTATTACTAACAATAAATTGTATGATTGTACTTTTATACCATAACTAATTGCAGAAACTTAATGAAAGGATTTTAGAAAGGAAAAATAATTTTATCAACAAATTGAATGACTAATTAAACTAGATTACCTATGAGTGTTAGCATCATTAACCATTGTAAACAAAACTAAGGAATGGTGCCAATTGAGGGGAGAAAACGACGTACATGTTTCTATATTATGCTTTTTTTAAATCAGTCAATTTAAGTCTAATTTTATACAACTGCAGAGAGAAATGCTAGTAAGCAATTTTTGAGGTTCTACTAAAGTAAGTATAAAGAGAACTTGCACAAATATATCTGCTCAAGTTATTTCTACTTCAAAATCTTTTCTAGTTCAGTCTACTACTACTTCTCAGGTTGTTACGTCTCTTTCCATTAATATAATTATAGCCCTATAATTTGGAAATATCAGCAGCAGCACTAGTTTTAGTATGTGGTTCTAATGCACTTATCGTAGTTTTTATTTACTAAAGACAACTTTATCTTATTAGTATGCACTTCTAATTACTTGTAATTAGACTTATCTCATACTCAGTAACTTTTAGTGATGCTTAAGTATGTTGTTAATTAGTTGATTGTTCAGTGATATTTTTTTGTTGTATGTGATTGGTGCTAACAACATAAGCAACCGTGTTATCCCTGCAAATAGCTATTCATATTACTAATAGAGAGTTTTAAAAGTAATGCGTATTCTTTATAAACTTTACTGCAAGAACTTGGATATATAATCATTTAACTAGCCATCCATCGTTGCAAGAACTTGGATATATAATCATTTACCTAGCCATCCATCGTTGCTTCATGTATTATTGGTAAACTTTATTCAATTGCACTTATACCCCTTGAATTTTGTTAATTCTTAATAGCTTTCCATATTTTGTCATTTCTCTGTTAATATAACTTGACAAGCAGCATGAAAGGTAAATTTAATACGAATTTCTCCTCTCACTTCTTAAAATATTTTTTTAATGGTAACTTTTCTGGTATGGGCTGAATTTGCAACACAAACCTCAAGTTTAAGGGTGGTAAGTGCTATTTTCTAAATCATAAGGGAAGTGAGTGCTAATATTAGAAACCTCAGGGGAAGTTTTTGCAATTATCCCTTAACATTATTCTAACCAAACACTGGTTAAGGAATGAAAATCGTAAAACAAATTGAGTATCATCCCAGTTAAAACATTTCCTGGCGGAAAAGTAGCCAGGGCAATCACGTTTCACAATAAATCATATATGCAAATTTGACGAAGTGTCATGCGAATATAAAGGAATCATGCATTACATTGAATCATCTTTCAATTTTTTGCGCTGAACTGGTTCGTCTAACAAATAGCAAGACTGAATAATTGCAAACTGATTCCATCTTCCAGCCATTAGCAACTTAGGCTCTTCGTCAGCACTCAATACACAAATTTTTCAGCGCTCCACGTTGACCTGGACTGAGTAACAAGCTGAAAACCTTAAAAAAACTGAAGGCGTGTTAAGTCAATAACCAGATAAACAAAAGCAAACTTGGTGAATTCCGAAAGACACTCAAGATTCTCTAGTTCACAACTGTAGCATAAACAATTAATTAGTCAGATAACTCGATCACCGCCCCATAAGGGCATGGATTATGGTACTTTTTGCTAAGTTTAAAGCACATTGTTAGTTCAAAATTGTACACGTAAAAGAATTATAATTTCTCTATATACCTCTTTTTTACTAGAAAATATATGGAAATTAACCATTTTAAAACTCGTAACTGCTATCAAATGGAAGTAGTTATTAATTGGAAGATCCAAATGCAACTAAGGCATCCCATCTCAAAGGAGTATTAATCTGTTGTATACGAGCACGTAATAGTTTTGTTGATTAGAATGGGTTGTCCAGGTCACATCCATCATAAAAGTCAAATACCAAATATTTCGATTTGGTGGAATTTAACCTCACAAAAACAATCTAACAAAAAGTTTGACAATGATTCTAAACCCATACCTGAACCAACAAGAGCGTTGAATGTACAACAAAGTGTCGTCCCCAACGGCCGAGTTTGTCAAGATCATCTCACCAGGTGGGGCTATCCATTAATCAAGGTTCGCCCAAGTATATACTCTGTAAATGCTGGAACCAAGTAAAGTTCCGTACTATCTCTTTTGAGGATCATCAGACATGCCCTGGACAAAGGACATACAAAGAAAGATGTAACCACATAACTTGGTAGAAAACTTGTCCCAGTAAATGTTTAACATCATGTACCACTAGCTGGTAGACTTTGAGGAATTGTTGTCAATAGATATTGATGTTATAAATCGATAAACAGGATCATAGAGATTTGGTCAATCTGACGCCAGATAAACCCCAGAACCAAGGGCAGATCCACATAATTTTGAAAAACTGGACAAGTCTCTGGCAATTTCCAAAATTTTCAACTCTGCCCCGCTAAATTTTAAGAAATGTAAACATACATAACTTACTTTATAATTTGACGGAAATGTAGTACAAAATAATCTGAAACCATATGCCTTTTACTTTAGTCTTTAATTCCCTTGGAACTCGTTACATTTTACTACTCCTATGCTAAAGGAGTTGTTTGGGCTTTTTTCAATATAACAAAAAGTACATTACTTCAATATGCCTAGAAAATGATTAGTACAGCCTAGCAAATCAGAGGTGACATATCCTAATAAAACAAAAAAAAAAATGTAATCCTGACTATCACAAAAAATCGCAGGGACAAGGGAAATTGAAATGTTGTGTATGCTTTTTGAAAGAAAATGATTCTTGTATTGGCGAATTTGAGTCTGTTATTTCCGGTTCTATTATACATGAAATAGTTGTACTACTATTACTTGTTATGTGAATTTCGTTGTTATATCCAAAGTTTTTAAAGGAAGAATTGCCCCCACATGAATCTATACTTCTCAGAAATGAAGCATGAGAAGCCAAAGAAGGAGAAGGAAAAGAAGAATAAAACTAATCAAGCTTGGTGCAAGATGCACCAGGGTCAACACTTTTACAAGTTTTACAACGAAATGTATTTAACAGTGTTCTAAACACTTTCATAATGATGTAAACCTGGAAGCTGCAAAGTTTAGTGCAAGCAAATAAACTAGCATTTTTTTTTCGCACATCAGTGTGCAAAGAATACCAAAAAAGGAGAGCAAGTGCTCCAGAAGATGCTTCACAAAATTAAACAACCTTGAGGTGGGTCCTTATATTCTTTTGCCAAGTCTTATAATCAGTTTTGTTTGACATGCAAAGTTTCCATGACAGGACATGTGGAAACAAATAATGGTCATTTGTGGATCAATACATGGTAAAGCTACATGGTAAAGCTTAAATAGAGATCTAAATGTTTGTATGCATGAATAATTTGAATAGATTGCTTTGAAAATTAGACGAACTGAAAACAGTGGATATAAAAATTCGTTTCTGATTCTCGTGCGCATAAATCTCTGAGAGAGCTGTTCGCTAATTCTAAAAGCTGAATCTCAACAATGTAAGAAGGGAATAAACCACGTTGCTGATGTGTTGTTGGCAACTAAACCGTATATGCCCCAAAGCTCTGGATTTTGAGAAGAGTGAGGGCCTCATGATTCATGGGAAGACACTCCTAGGCCAGTTATTCACTAAAAATTTGGAAAAGACAGAATAAGATTGCCTCTTTCATAAGCTACTAACAATCAAAATCGGCAATCAGTCCCCTGTACGACCAATATAACAGTCTTTTGGAAGTAGTAATGCAAAGGAAACAGGATGAAATAATTAGATATGAACTGCATACTGAAGAGTTAATGACTACATTACCTCGTAAACTTGAACTGGCACTAAATACATGCAGAAGGGTGGGTTCAAATCCCAGAAGTGCAGGACTTTTGGGATTTCTAAGTAGGTGTCCAGCAAGATAGGGAATAAATTATTCGCCCTTTCCATCCCAGCAGCAACCACTGACTGTCTTCATCAATGACAAAATCTTTGTGGTAACCTGACGTCACCTTTTCTATTGCCTTTTTCATGATTTCCCGATCTAGAGGGATTTGCCTGAAGCCTGCCCTTAGATTACGGACTTGCCACTGCTTATATGTTTCTGGCCTCTCAACTCTCTCCCAACCTTCGCAAGCTATGACATTCAGAGCTTCTCTCCCAAAAATTTCTTTCTCAATTAATGTTCTTTCTGGAATCTCCCTTGGTACAATAGTTTCAAGCATATCAAAAAGAGCTGAAAAGTGGAAGAGAGCCTCTCGGAAGCGGGTGACAAAAAAGGGAGCACTGTAGGCTCCATTCACAATCCCATGGATGAAGATATCTGGATTAATGCTTCTTATCAGCTTAAGAACGATAGTTCTTGAACTCTCTACAGCCACAGTCTCATCAAATAAGTTCTTAGATCGGTATATACAATTCACCACAACAAATTCACCCTCTTCAATCTTAAGATCCTCAAGTTTGATTGTTTCCCATTTCTTAGCTACTGCATTGTATTCGAATGGCACCTTAAACATCTTAGCATATTCTGCCAAACGATGACCTGTCTCCTGAATGCGCTCTGCTGGTCGGAATCCAGGTTGAGGAAACTCTATGCCTGTAATCCGAACCTTCGGAGGGCCACCCTCTCTTCCTGCAATACGTTGAAAAAAGGTGGGCCACTGGAAACCGTACAGGATACCAAAATCTATGACATGAACCCTCACGGCATTTTTTGATTCAATCATGATTGTTTTGTTTGAAGCAAAATTTGAGATCTTCCTGAATGGGCATGATGCTAGATATAGATGAAAAGCTTTTAAGAAATCAGCAGCAGATGTCCTTTTATTCACAAGGGCCTTATATATCTGGCTACCAGTGCCAGCTATCCGTGCCTCAAGACCTTGGGCAAAGCAATGAGCTAACCTTTGATTCCCATCACCAAAAGGAGAAGCATGCTGCCTGATCTGTTTGAGCAGCTCATTTGCACTCCTATGGTCATCAGCAGCAACAGCCTGTGCACAATGAATCATGAGGGTTCTTAAATCTATTACCTGCTTCTTCACATTTTGTTTCTTTCTACGACCCTTTCCCCCACTAGATCCCTTCAGTTTCGGTTGCCCATTCTGAAGCATAACTTTGCTCTTGGCAGTCCTCAAGTTTTCTTGATAAGCTGCCAGCGCAACCTGACCCTCTCCCATGCTATGAAGCAAGACTATATCAAACTCCTCTGATCGCACAGTTGATTCAGTGAAAACTGCTGCCAGCTTGCTACTCCTCTCCTCTAAATCTGTATCCCCGCCATGAGGGTTCTTCCTGCCCCTTGACCCAGTTGGTAGGAAGTTCACGTCATCTCTTCCCTCTTCCTGAAGTATTGGCTCCTCAATTTCTTCCGCCAGCTCCAGGGGAAACAACCCATTGATGCTGAAGTTTAACAACTTATTGCCATCTGGAAGAAACTTGCTAGCTTCTTCAACACCCTTCTTGAAATTCCAAACAGAATGGCTCCCATAAGGAGGACTAGACGGAGAGTCCAGGAAGCTATTCACCATTGATGAGCTAAGTGATGAGCTTGGAGCACGATGAGCACGGTGACAGTGAACAAGAGAGGTAGCGTCGTAATGAGCAAGGTTGTTCAGGGAACTAGGTTCTGCTATGTAACTTCCAGGATTGCTGCTTGTACTTGTCAGGTTACACTGATCCCCAGAAAAGCATTCATCAGGGCTAGCACCATTTTGGAAGATAAAAGTAGGATGCGGCTCAGGGGAAGGAGGGTACTTCTTGCCAAGGGCCTCATAAAAAGACTTTTCTTTTGCTTGGAGATCCAAGGATTCTTGAAGCATATACGCCTTATCCTCCATATCTTCTTCCATAAGCATCTGGTTTATGTACCGCAGAACTGCATCGGAAAAATCAAGGTCTTCACTGAAATCATCCTCAACACCCAGACTGGAAGTTGAGGTTAAGTTACTCGGGGAGGGATCGCTGGGAAGGAATTCTACTCCTCCATCAAAGTTGTATTGGAGAGGGGCATTTTTAGTTGTAAGGCCGTGATTCACCCGTTTCTGGTCCACATAAAGAGTCTCAAATGTGGGTCCATTTGGATTCAAGTCCCCAAAGGTGGACAGGTTTTGATTCCTCAATCGAATCCCTCTTGCAGAAGCCGGAATCCCAAGAAAACTCGGATCCATACCAATCGCCAACTAACTAGAATAAGAAAAACTCGAACAAGACTCTTTGTGAGTTCGTCAACCCTGAGATTTAGTTATAACCTACAAAGTGTATTCCGTAGTCAGAAAGGTGTCTTGAGAATTTGTCCCGAACCCTACAGCAAAGAAGAGGAGGAGGTAGCGGTACCAGTCAGGATTTAATTGACTTCATCACTCTCCCAAAAAAAAAAAAAAAAATCATATCGAGAGTCAACAAGATCGTTTATTCTTATTAATTATTGTCCTTTTTCTTTTTCGGTGGGTAAAGAGAAGAACTATGAGGAAATCTGTACATACTGGAGTCCGATTCACAAGTGGAATTTAGGTTGGATATGTAACATAGGTCCCCCTAAATGCTGCAAGTTGAAAATTATTGAGTCATTTTGATTGTAAATAAAGATATAGAGATGAGCAACAGCATTCACCGGACAAGAAGAAGAAGAAGAAAAACGCAAGAAACGTACCATTCGCCCTAGCCATCGTCATTGCGACATCTATGATCACTTTATCGTGTGTGGATTAAATACTACTAGTACTCAGTAACAGCACGAGGAAACAGCGTACAATAGAATAGAGAAGGAAATAGCAAAAAAAAAAAACAGAAAAAGAAAAAGAAAAAGAAAGTGGTGGTGGAACCTGGGAGTGGGCGGTGGTCTGGTGGGAAGACGGAGGAGAAAAATCGAGATGGACTGAGCAGAAGTTAAATAAACGAGCGAGAGGACTGAGCAAAAATCGAGATGGACCTGTACGCTTTTAGGAGAGCCTCCTTAATTCACAGGCTATCATTCTACAGTATTCATAAATAAATTTTTTAAAGCGGTATTTTTTTTAGTAATATTAAAGCGGTCTAATCTAGAGAAACACGTACAATCAGAGCCGTTGAGGTGAAGGTGACATGCAATTGCAGCTGACCAAGGTTTTGGGTGTATTCTCCAAAAAAGGTTTTGGGTGCTCGCAGGGGGGGAAAAAAAAAAGGAAGGAAAAAGAATCTTACGATTATGACCTATTAGAGATAATTTGGGTAAATTTCATTTTGAACTCCTAAAGTGAATGCAATTTTTGACTTCAATCTCTAAACTTCAAAATAGAACACTTAAGTCTCCAAACTGTTGAATCCGTTCCAATTAATTAAATTGTTAATAGAATCCAGAATATCGTCCGAATTTTTTGAGCGTGTAAAACACTCCATTGACCAAGGGCAATAATGAAAATTTAGAAAAAAAATATAATAAAAAAGAAATTTAGGTTTTTGAACTCTTCTTGTAGGACATGATTTTTGAACTCTTCTTGTAGGTTTAGAATGTGTTTTACCCATTTTTTTTGGATATCCATATATCTTTTTGGTTATGCCGAAATCATTTAAACAGAACAAAAGAAACTTCTGGATCTCTTAAAATGGACATAGTTGATTTATTATTCATTTACTGGTAAATAGGATAAACAGTTATTACTGGTAAGTTCTTCAATTTCAACTTTCCAAATACCTGCATGATCTGTCCTCTTTATAGGAGTTCTTATTTCTTAAAATTCCTTTACAACTCAAATTGAAAAGATACACTGGAGGGAAAAAAAGTATGATGATATAACTAATGCTTTGATATGACTTAGCGATTTTCTATGCTGTTCATTTGGACTATTGGACATTGTTGTACTTTCTTTGACATAGCGTCTGCAAGTCATATCTCGAGGAAGAACTTTCAGCTTCCTGACAGCCCAGAGGGATGGGCCTTTCTATCCATCATGTCTTGTCTACTAGTCCGATTTTCCTCTTCAATTTTCTTCAAATTGTTTCATGGACCAATTACTCATTTCATGGCCCTGTCGTTTGGTTTCATGTCTTAGGTAAAGCTCCCACTATTTAGGTGATATCCCATTCTCCCATTTATGTCTCATCTGCATATTAGTGGGCCAAGAATTCACAAACCTGCATACAAAGGCTGTTAGTTGATCTATGAAGTCCCTCCAATCCTCTAAGCGCATAAGAATGAACTCCTAAGATTAAAACATCATTAATCTCAAATTTGCATTCTTGATTCTTGTAATTTAAATTTTGGCTCTATTGAAAACCCTTCATTTTGTTACTATCCATTGCACCCTCTTAAGTGCTGGAGGAGCCAATAGCGCATGCCTATCTCCTTTTTTTTTTCTAGAAATTGAAATCCGGAAATTTTTTGGGCCCTCACTACTGTAGACATCATCCGCTTAATTGAATTGATTCATGCTGTCAAAAGGAAAGAGAGGGGAAAGTCAATGAATATAAATACAAATATTTAACTGGGAAAAGAGGTAATGTAATAAGTAAAGGAACATATTTACAGAACAGTGATGCATTAAGATGGAAGTGTAAGCAGTTTCATGGTAAAATAATATTTTTTGAGAAATAAGTTTTTAGGGATGACAATTAATGCTATAGGAAATATTTTGTTTGTAACCTGTTCATCTGAAAACATGAGTCTGATGAACCAAGATGTTTGATCTTTTCCTGGGTAGATTGGTGATTTTTCAGTGACAATCACCTTGATCATCCAATCCTTTGTTTCATGAGTCAAAGTGCTAACAGGAATATATCTGCTGGTCATAACTACATAATATCGAACATATAAATTGGTGAAAGTGGTTAATAATACTGATGGCTGAAAATTATATGACGTGAATAAGCTAAATAGAATGGACAAAGAAGAATGCAGTGGAAATCATTAAAATGCAAGCACACATATATTAATTCTAAAATACACAACAAGCAAAGTGATGAGCATAATTACTCAAGTGAGTGTTGCAGCTGTAAGGATTTCTTGATAAACAATGTTTCGGGTGGTATTCTGTGGTATGCATTCAAGAGTAACTGGTCTTATAAGTATTTTTAGTTTTTTTGCAGTTCTTGCTCTGGACATTGCAACATACAATTGACCATGTGAAAAGACTGGCTCTTTTAAATATATTCCTACAAAATCAAGTGTCTGTCCTTGTGATTTGTTAATGGTCATTGCAAAACACAGAGATATGGGAAATTGAGTTCGTTTGAATGGTATTGGATAAGACTCATCATTTGAGCTATGAAGTGGAATGCGAGGGATGAAAACTTGTTTTCCAATGTGATTTCCTGAAGCAATTTGTGCATGAATAAGATTACGAGCAAAATTCAAACAAGTTAAACGTGTTCCATTACACAAACCTTCAGCAGGATTCAAATTTCTCAAAAGAATAATAGGACAGTAAGGTTTCAAAATTAATTCATGGGGTGGTAATCCGGGTGGTTGGATAGTGTTCAGAAAATCTCCATGATCAGCTTGTTTTGAAGGGTCAATTGTTTGATTGAAGCTTATGTATCTTGTTTCTTGACCAGGAAATCTTTGAATCAAAAGGTTGTTTATATGATGGACAAACTCATTTGTTGTAGTAAGAATGGCTCTATTGATAACAGCGGAAGTATTGTAAATGAAATCAGTAAGTGAAGGATAGACAGCACTTATCAATTCATCGAGAGAAGCAGCATCGTCAACAAAAGGTATCAGAATAGATGATGGCAATTGAATTCTGCTATCTCCAACTGTTGGTTGTGTGCCATTCCCAATTCTAAGCAGCAAATCAGAAAATTGAGGGTCCAATCGTGCTCGCATATTTTCAGTTAGCTGTATTTTTTCTAGATAAGGCCAAATGTAAGAATTGATCAGTGATGCAGATATATAATCTTCTTTCTGACCTTTTTGAACAACAGGGAGAGTTTGTCGAAAATCACCACCAAAGACAATAGTTTTGCCATCGAATATAACATCAGAATCCAGAATATCACGAAGCATCGTATCAAATGATTCAATTGCATATTTCTTAGCCATTGCTGCTTCATCCCATATAATTAACTTTGCAAGTTTTAGAAGCTTACCGATGCTACTTTGCTTTGAGATGTTACAGGTTTGGCTATTGTCTTGGTGAAGTGGAATCTTAAAGCGAGAATGCGCCGTCCGTCCTCCAGGTAACAATGATGCTGCAGCACCAGAAGTCGCTGTTGCTAGTGCAATATGACCCCTTGATCTCACAGTTGCAAGTAATGCTTTATATAAGAATGACTTGCCAGTTCCACCAGGGCCATCAATAAAAAAAACACCAGGAATATTTCTATTCAGCTTTTCGATTATTCTGTCAAATGCAGACCTTTGCGCTTTGTTCAACATTGAAACTGAAGCCAAATCTTCATCGGAAACAGGTATTTGGTACTCAGTTTCAATATCTTTAGTGCAGCTATCTGAGCACAAGAGATGGTAAGGAATGTCTGTCAAGTTGTAGTCATCTATATTTTTTCCCATAATTTGCATATATTGATCAATGAGTCTGAGCACTTGAATTTGTACTTGTTCGTTTGATAATGCCAAATTCTTTTGAATGTCTTCTGATAGATGATTTCTGTACTTCAACCAAAGAGCTCTTGGATTTGTTGGTGGAGAATGCACAAGCAACACAGCAAAAAGTTGTCTTAATGAACTTGGCATGTTGTATACAAGTGCCTCAGATAAGCATTCATCAAAACCATTGTTTACTTGAAGCAGTCCACGAACTTCTGCTGCCTCTTTGTATGTAGATGATATATGACCATGAACAGATTTTAAGTCATCAAAGGAAGTTGGTTTTCTTACGTGCATGAGTAACATTCTGAGGTAGTATCTTTCTCCTTCAATAGGATGGGCTGTGTTAACACGGCCAATGACTTCTCCACGTTTTCTGTCCATCCATATTCGATCACCTTCATCCCAAGTGAAATATTTGGGAAATTCTTTGTAGAGACAATTCAGATCCTGTGCTCTCTTATTTGTTTGATTCATAGAGAAGAATTCTGTTAACATTGTCCTTGAATTTCTCTCATTAGCAAGAACATCATCCAATGTTTGATTTTCAGCAAATGATATCGACTGATGATTTTGTAAATGCAAGTGCATTGTCATTACTGATGGATGAATATTGGTTAAATCGAATGCAAATATCCTCCACATGGCTTCAGGAGCACAAATCCATCTAGCAGATTGGAAATTGCGAATCTCATCAATGATATTTTCAGTTTGTTGAGAAGTGATCTGATACATAACTTTGTCGTGTCCTTTGTAAATATACTTGTGAATATACTTCACTGCTTCAATACCAGAGCATATCTCTACATTGATGTGGCAATCAAATTTTGCAAGAAGATATGCGTTGTATGGAACAATCCATCGATTATCAAGTGTGTGATTTCTGATAATAACACTTCTTCCATCATTACGTCTTCTGTAAATGGGATAAGAGTTTCTTCCATGTTTAGTGTATGCAGAAAAATCTTTTGGATAGTTATTTCTGCACTTGCGATTTTGACGCATACATGGAGAATTGGGATTTAGAAGACCACATGGTCCATGAACCATATGTTTTAGCACCAATGAATGTAAATAAGGTGACTCTTTTGGATCTGGTAACTCTGCAGAAACAATCCTATCATATGCTTCAGGAGAAAACATCTTTGATCTTTGTTTGAGGATAATTAGAAAATGAGCGTGTGGTAATCCTCGTTTATGGAATTCAATCACATAAGTATAAGCTGCAACTTCACCAAACAGATTCTTCTTGAACAAATCATCCTTTAATTGCTCAATTTTTGCTCGAAATACTCGAGAAACCAAATCTGGTCTATTTTGGATTTCATCTTCATCTGCTAAATGTTTTTTAATCTCTGGCCAAGATGGATTGCATGTCATTGTAAGGAAAATATCAGGTTTTCCATACCGTTGAACAAGTGACATAGCATCCATGTATCTTCGACGCATATCTCTGGGACCTCCTATAAAACTTGCTGGAAGAATAATTCGCTTTCCAATGTTTGATGCAGAAGTTTCACCACCAATTATAGTATCCATCAGTCCTTTATAAACCTCAGTTCTCAAGTTTTGCTGCCTATGTTTGTGAAATTCCAATCGTGATGTCTCTAGTTTAATATATGTTTCCACTGAATATTGCTGCAGCAATCTTCCTATGTGTAACATATTTGATCTATCATGGTCCCTTATTTGGAATTTGTATGCGTAGTATTCACGGCAAGAGACCGTTGGTCTCTTGGTCTTTTTTTTTTTGTTGCTGTGGAAAGCAGATGAAAATATGAAATACAAATTAGATGTGAAAAATTTAAATATAAGTAAATTTGTATGAGTAGCTTGGAATTGTAAGCAGAGAATAAATAGACAGAAATTATATAGACATGTCTGAAATATAAGAGAATATGTATCTGAATTTTCCAGTCTTGATTAGCTATAAGGAACAATAATATAAAGCTGCAATTCAATGCAATATAGCATAATAGAAATAAATCTAAATCAGTGTTTTGGTACTATAGATAATGATGAATTTGTTATTTATACCTTTTTCTTCAGCAGATATAACTTCATCTATGTGTGAGCAATTCTGGAGTGATACAATATTTTCCTTCTGACATGTTCCGGATGCTTGGTTCAGAATATCAGATTTTGGTATTCGGAGTATGCCTTTGTGCCATCCGGTCTCACCTCTTGCAAATATAAGAGGATATTGGAGGCTATCATAGCATCCATAGTACTGTTTTAGTATACGTTTATTTCCTGCTCTTGTGAAAATCTGGATGTCTCGAATGCCATCACCAGTGTTATAATCATTTTCATTCTATATTGCTGCTACTTGAGATACTGTAGGAAGATTGTAAACTCTTTGATCCATACCTGGATCTGATTTGAGGGAAATCTTATAGTGTTCAGCATCATGAAGGTCGATCAAACTTCTTATAAAAGTGGAGTAAGGATTATCCTGTAGAATATCCTTAAGCTGTTCCACAATAGATTCTTTGAACTTGCTAGAAATTGCCATGCGATTTGCTATTTCATGTTGTGTATCATAGAAATATAACTGCAGATTTGTTGCTCTCTCACCTTCAGAAGGAACCAATGGATTGATGAAGTGATAAACTTGGCCTTGCACTCTGAATGTGTATATACCATTATTCCTTCTGCTTAAATCTTTGTCGTAATGAACCCCCAAGGATGTAAAGGCAAACATATTGTTGTAACTACGGATGCACAATCGAAACTCTCTAGCTTCAGGAGTATTTGCCTTATAAAGGTGAATTAATTTATCTGGCATTTCAGTTTCGACTAAACGAATTTCACCTGCCGAGCAACAGAATCGCGGTGGTCCCATATAAAAGCGCTTAGCACGACAAAATATGCAATCTGAAACCTCTGGCAAAACACTTGGCTCAGATGGTATTTGTTCTAATAATGGTATTTTCCTTCGTCTGTGATGAACATCTATACCATATGAAATACAAGCCGTTCTAAGAAATTGAAAGAATAGACAGGCTGTAAAACATCGAAAATAGGAGCACACAGAGATTTTCATGTAGGCACTTAAAGTATATAAGTACCATTTGAATGTTGTGGATTGCTGGTGGACGAAGAGCCTTCATGTAGAAGAGTTGGTAACACAGGTGAAGAATGGCTCAGGCTATTTGTTTCAAAAGTAGTGGAAGAAACGGTGTTATCAGAAACCACATGGTCAATTGTTGTAATAGCTGTTCATATAGCAAAAACAAATAGTGGTAGGTTGTTGGTTATCATTAAATTTCATAACCAATATAGGATATAAATTCAGGAGGGTGGAAAATACTCTGATCAATAGCATCATTCGTAGAGCTGCATTGGACGATTGGCTTATCAGAAATATCAGTGACAGGAATTTCATAGCACATGCACTTAGCTTTCAATAAAGCTGAAAGTGATACATGATTGTCAACAGGCACATCAACAACTGTATGGTCTGTTGGAGAAACAGGCATAACATCTGTGTTGCAGCTGTCCTTGTTTTGACGTTCACCACTGTCTTGTATGTGGTTCTGTTTCTCTGTTACTTTTTTAGCATATCTTTGTCGCCGGCGCTCATTAGCTTGTATACGACATTCATCCTCAGATGTATACTTGCGTTTTCGACCCATATTAGAAGATGGCTCTTCATAGGAAAAAGCGTACAGGGCATAATAGACGCGATAGAAAGTTTCTTGTAGTATAGGACAGATAATAACTCCAAAGAAGAAAATTTATAGGAGGAAAAAGTAGAAATATCATAGCTAAAAGAAATTGCGAACAATGATCGCATTTAAACGAAACACAAACAAAGCCACAGAATCAGAGTACATTATGCAGCAAAACACACAGTCAGAGTAAATTATGGACATAGTTGATGGAAATGCAAAATTTGAGTATAAAACAAATGTTAGTACCTCCAAAACGCTGCAACAAAAGTCCAGAGCGTAAATTAGAGGGAAGGCAGCTGATACAAAAACACATAACATAAAGGAATGTCAATATTTTTGACACAAATAGAAAGCAAGAAGAAATAGCACACACCAAACAAATTTCAAAATGACAAAGGAAAAAAACCGCAGCAACACAGAAAGCTAGTTAAAAGAGAGAAAGGGGAAAAATGCATACAGAGCACAACATGCATGGAAAAGCTCATCACAACGAAAAAGCATGAGGACAGGAAAAAGCAAGATAAAGGACAGATAAATCAAGATGGTAACTGACCAGTAAGAGAAAGGATATGGTAGCTCACCAGTAACACAAAGGAAGACAAAACGGAAGAGGCAAACGAAGCAAAAGCACAGAACACTTGTAGAATTTTTGCAAAACAGAGAAGAAATAGAAGATAGGGAAAAGAAAAAGAACGACAATAATGGAAGAACTCCAAATCAGCGAGGAACACAGATGAGATAAGATGGCTTAAATGTCTAAGATATTAAGAATGAAAGGTTAGCTGAAGATAGCTGGCTATCCATGCAAAGCACACGCGGCATGCATGCAAAATATATCCTACGTTAATGACCCTAATGCAACAGCAGTGGAGTTGCTGAGGAACCGAGTGGAAGACAAACAGAAGAGTCACACAGATAGCTGGAAAAAGAAAGCGAAATCGATAAACAACTGAGCAGAATATAGAAAATGGAGAAACCTGACATTAACATTTAATACAGATGAAAATGGCTCAAATCTTAAACTGAACAACACTGAAAGATAACTTCAATATAGCTGATTATCCACGAAAAATACACGCGGCATGCATGCACTATATACTGGCAATGACATGTATATGAAGAGGTGGCTGACTTCATATTCATATAGATGAAAATGCGCAAAGCCAGATGAAAACGCGCAAAGCTAGAGTAAGAATGATGGCAGGCAAATATGGATAGAAATGGATTTTGGTCGAAGATAATGGTGATCTTGCGGGGAACAGAATGATAAGAAACATGTGCTATCTGATGCCTCCCAAAGCATTAAAAAGACCGTGATGTCCAAAATGCATATATAAATAACAGCATAACCAGGACAAAGGACAAAAAAGTCCAAAAGAAAGTCAACCAAGGAAAATGAATCAGAGGAAAATAGAACCCATACAAGGCTGCAGCTGAAAAATGACAAGAAAGGGAACAAATGTGAAATAAATTACAAAATAACCGGCACAAATCACTGTTCATCGCCCTTCCACGGTTTATGTAGTGTAGGATTTATCTATGGGCTTGTTACTAATTTTTGAGTGTTGCATGGTAGATAAGTAATTTTGTAGCTTCTAGAAATTATAGAGATTTACAAGAAAGGTTCATTAGGGGTTGCTTTTGGTAATTCTACAAGGTTTAAGCAAAGAGTACCAGTACATACAAGGCTTAGAAGTTAGGTGAATTGTTTAAAGTTTTGTCCTTTGCATGCAAATATTGGACTCTCATTTAACGACTTTGTACTGTAGCATTTGATTTGAATATTGCGAGTCACTTGGAATGCATCTAGGCTGGTTAAAAATCTGGAATATTGTCAATGGATTTAAGATAAATACTGTACAGGAGAAAAAAGGTCAAGTAGAAACTCAATCTTCGGTTTCTGAAAAAATGTTCATTTTGAGGGGTTTTCCCCTTTCCATTTTACAAGGCTTAAGGCGATGATTAAACAGAACACATACTAAGTTTTAGAAGTTTGCTGCTAGCGGTGTGCGGAGTTTTCTTACCATTTTTCAAGGATTACGGCAACAATCAAATAGAACATACTACGTTTAATTAGAAGTTTGCTAGTGTTGTGCACTTTTGTCCGTTAAATAGAACATACTACGTTTAGTTCCTGTTTTCAAAGAGGGAAAAAAAAAAAGAAATTCAAGGATAAAAGAGACCTTAGATATTCAAGTATCCATTTTCTATTACTTGTTTGTTAAACAAGTAACAAATTACGTAATATATAAGCCATTCATAAATATAACAAGAACTTTATATAAATTCCAAAAACTCATCTTATTTAATTTGCATGTTGATAATGTACTACCAGGTAACATTAAAATGAAAACTGGAATTAACCAAACACAATTCAATCATGGATTCCACTTCAAGAACAATCTAAGAGCAGGATATTTGACTGCCAATAGGTTTAAAGGGGTACTGATTATCGGCTGCATAATTGAAACTGAAATTGCCGTGTGTAACACCATAATAGATCGGTTGGCCACCATTAACGAGGCAAGAGCCGCCGCCATTTTGAGACAGGACGGCGGGATTAATCTTTTCAACACTTTGGAAGCCGGAGCAGGATAGCTTGACCTGGGTCTGAGTGCAAGTGCAATCGTTAAAGATGGTGAGTTTGAACTCCGGCTTGGATTGTACCTTTGCCCCTGTTGGAGTCTGCAATATGATCAGACTTGATAGAGAGCATCCTTGAGCATTTGCAGTGCCTGCAAGTTAAAAGTTAAAATGAATTACTACTACCAATTAACAGCGTAACATATATTATTTATTAATTTCAAAGATAAATACATTATACACATACATATTATTATTAAACTAATAATGAAATGCATGCATCAAAAAACATGGAAATACATGCATTGTATGTCAAAACTGGACCAGCCAAAAGAATAGAAGTTGATAACACTACTATTTTATCTCCCACCTAAAAAAAAAGATGTTTTGAAGTATAGATTTTAATGAAAATTTATCAATACACATATCTAATTTCTTTTTCTTTTTTTTTCAAAATTAAACGTGCACCTGCTCGACACAGCGTGCACACGCATATATATATATATATATATATATATATATGTATATGTATATTTATATGTATATGTATAGTTTCTATGATTGTTTTCGAAATTTGCCGCAGTTGATATAGTGATGCATTTAGAAGCTCTACCTGCGCTCAATAGACCAAGAAAGAGAGACAAGCAAAGGATCTTGAAAATGGCTGCCATCTTCTTTGTTCTTGTCTCTTTTCAAAGATTCTGAATCTTAAAGTGTGCTACTTTTATCTGCATATGCATAAGAGAACTTAGGAATTTATATATGCAAGACTTTTAGATATATATGGAAAAACGAGCATTAGAGGATAAGAATTAATTTGCATGCGAAGGCCAATCCATATACATGGGATGGTACATTCACAGTCGACCAGCTTCAAAGGTGTCTGTCTGGTTATCAGTGAAACAATTAAGACACCAAAGATTTTTGCTAAAAAACAAAGAATCTCTCTATGCATAGGAACCCGATTATATTTCATTAAATTAGAGATTTTATTATATCAGCGGTGCATTTGACACATTAAGAGAGGCATTAGGTGATCGATTTGGTGTTTTCCTTTTTTCTTTCTTTGCATGTTAAAGTGACTAAATAAAGATAGTGGAATTAATGTGATTGCGTGCATTTATATAGCAAATGAGATACAATTGTTAGGAAAATCCTTTAAAAGATGGAGAGTTATTAATGTACCTTTGATTGACATCCCAAAATTCCACTTACTGTGATTTCATATCATTTTATTTAAAATGTCCCAGATTGAATTGTTTTAAATGTTAAAAGAAGATTCTCATTAGCACATTAATTCCCTTGATTTCTGTATTTAAAAGGCAATCGCTTTCAGTTTATATTTGATTCTCATTAATTTATTTCCCGCAATGATTTGTATCCTCATTTACAGATCTCTTTTCATTTCCTAATTTTTCCCTACATTCTAACCTAAGTTCTTCCAGGCAGCAAGTTTGGCCGTATTTCGGACTGGACATTTCTTGCCATCACCATCACAACATGGGGTGTTTTTGGCCCACCCATTTTTTTGAAACGGCTTTTACAAGCATTTAAGGGAACAATTAGCAAATTGTTCTTGCTGTAACATAAATAAATGTTAAGAGTTCTAGTATAGAATGTTATCTCCAGCTATTGGATAAATTATGGTAAATGGATTTTCAGTCAGAAATCCATTGATGTTTGGACTTTTCGTGGTAATAGATCGTGTGTTAAAACTCCTTGCAACTTGGAATTCCTTGCAGAAGTCATGTGTTTTATCTAATAATATTAATTCTGCCGGATATAATTAATTACCAGAAAGGAGAAAATACCATCCCGTAGAAATACATGTGCGCGTGCATGCGCATACAAACACGCACACACACAAATACACACACAAAGCTGAGTTTGATGTTATAAAAGTATCAATTTCTATCATCTAAACAGACTATTGTAGTGTGTTGTAAAGTAATCTCACTCCGGTAAAACAAATAAGATAATCTTAGTTCAAGTGTATCTGCATGTTAGTTTTTGCACTGCCATTACTGGATTAGTTATAATCTGTGATACAAATTGTTTGTTCACACGTCTTACCTTGGTTAATTGCAATACTATCAGAAAGAAAATTAAAAGGAAATTTATTTAGAGAAGGGCTCCCCAAGGTGATACGAATTCTATACGAGACCCGAACCTAGAAGATTGACTGGTAACACGTTGGAAAGACGGAATTGAGAACGACACAAAGAACCGCTCGAGCATCAAAACAAAGGTAGAAAGACACCGCGATTGAGTGTGTTTCTCAATCGATGAGTCTACGAGCACCTCAGGAACAGCACTAAGATTCTGTAGCTAGCTTTTGCAAGCCATGAAAAAGAGGTTTTCCTAACAGCACTTTGCTGGAAAATTCACCAAACTCTCATCTCCCAAAACGAAAGAAAAATACAAATATAAATAACCTACCAACTCCCAAGATGGGTTGAGCCACGGCTTGACCCAACTACCCTAACTACTAAAGACTAAATTCGGGCCTAATAAGGCCTTAAGCTGGCCGAACTTAACCTACTAATTAGCTAACAAAATGACATCTATCAACATGAGATTTTGGACCGAACTTTATTCCTACTAACTAAATAAATATCACAGTAAAAGTACTAATAATAATAAGGTATGATAACTTGAATCACTTGAGCTCATTTGTCTTGGATGAATTAAACAATTGGAAGCTCCATTTTACATCATTCCCCTCCTCTTGAAAAGATTTGTCCTCAAATCGTGGATAGGATGATTGAAAAGCAGCAAGTGATTGATGAATTCCTTGACGAAACAGCCACACATTGGTTCTCATTGAATGGATGATGCTCATAGATGTCAACATCCACACAATTGTTTGGACATGTCGCTAGGATAGCTTGTAGAAGTTCATGCACCAAGTACATATTGCATGTTCAAGAACCCTCCAATAGCCTCGGACCTCTTGCGAACAAGTAATATAGCAAAATGTCGACCATATCTTGAAAAAGACTAACAAAATAGCATGTCGTCTATGCAAGCGGAAGATGCACACGACCTCAAGTTGCACATCAAAAACTTAGCTCTTGTTGGTAGCAACATGAAAGAATGGGAAACAATCACTTCGCATGAACATGTAGACGGCATCGTAGAAATGAAGGACAACGATTGTCTCAAATCCGTAGGTGAATGGAGGTCTAAACGCTCACGAACCATGGCTAAAACCCTAATTGTAATTGAGAAATAACAAAATAATAAAAAAAGTCAGGAGCTACATTGCAAAAATTAAAAAAATTTTGGGATCAAAATATAATTTTACAAAAGATTGAGGGTCAAAATTCAATAAAAATAAAGTTTGAGGGCCAAAATATAATTAAATTAAAGGTCTAAGTGAAAGAAATTCAAAATTTTTGAACCACAAGAAAATTACTCAAAAGATCACGAGCCAAATGGCTTAACTGATTACACAAGAAAACAATATTAGGCCATTTTATACATTTGGGCCATGTCACTTCGGCCCAAGAAAAATAGGCAAATCCATCTTATTTATAGATAGCCCAACCCAATTCATTTTTACAACCCTAAACCTAATAAAGATATTGGGCTTGAGTTTCAAAGCCCATATCACAAACTTAACAAAAAATAACATATCAGCCCATTTCTTATCTAATTCATTTGCATAAATTTTTAAAATTGTCTAATTAAGTTATCTAAAACCAACAAATTCTATTCAAAGCCCCAACTATACTCTAAAAACCCAAATTAATTTAGTCAAAACATGCATAAACATATGAAAAGAAATTAAGGCTTTGAAGGGAAGAAATTTAATCCATTTTCACAATCTTTTGAACCTTAGTGCAATTAAACCAAAATTAGGGAGAGGGGCAAAATGCAAATATTCATTATCATCCTCCAAACTCAGGCGGAATCAGCAAACTAATGAAGACTCTAAGTGTTCAACCAGCCAAGAAAACATTCAAATGAAACACCAAAAATAACTATTCAATCTTGAATAAAAGGGAAAAACCAAATATTTTTTTTTTCTGGCCAAACACAAGCACAAGATCATTCAACCCCAAACACCAACACAAGATTCAAACGTCCAAAGGCAAGATTTTGGAACCCAATACAAGAATATGTAACATGAAGTGGAGAAAAATGAAACATGCACAGCAAAGGCAAGACTTTTGATCTCATATTTAATGGATGTAAATGCAGATGTGAGCTTATATCCAAAGGAAAGTATGAATAAAGGTTATCTGTGATGCTTATTGAGCGTTGCAAAGTCCCAGAAAAGTGTGTAGATGTCGAAACGAAGCAAGATCCAGTGGCTGCTGTTGGTGCCCAGAATTGCCAAGGGAGCAACTTCAAGCTCTGATTTGATCGTCTTGAAGCTGTTTTTCTTGAAACCTCTCAACGCAAAAGTTTCTCTAATGAAATGTAGAAGACGCAGAAACATAGAAATCACCAGAAAGATCTCAATAGAAGCGGGAAAATGATGACGAACATGACTGGTCGACCAGCCTGTTCACTGTTTTGGAAGAAAACTTTTTTAGGAAGGCAGTTTCAGGCTTCGATTTGAGGGCTCCGTACTGGTTATCAGAAAAATATTTCAACACAAAATTTATTCCTCTATATCCTTAGAAGGTGCATAAAAAATAATCACTAGATCAATAAAGAGAGAGAAAATCAAATTGGAAGAGAGCTGGTCCACTAGCTTGTTTCCAGATTTTGCAGAAAAAGCTGCTTTTGTTTTCTTGCCTTTTCTCTCTCCTCACACTCCCAGATCTTGTGCAACCGCCCCCTCACTCGTTTCCCTTTCTTAGAAACCCTAAAATCTCTCTTTGCTAGATATTTAAATGGAATAGAACTCCCAAAGCCTAAGAATAAGGGTTTGGATTGAATGTGGGTTTATGTTGCTTATTTTGACCCTTTTGATCTGCTTGTTGACTTGATTTTTGGATAGAAATTCGAGTGATGAACTAGTCCTGTACTATCCAAAACATGGAGAGAGAAAAGGAGGAAAAATCCATCAAATAAAATCTGCCCCAAAATTTCCAGCTATTCTGCATTTGTGCTTCTGGTTTCATACTTTGCATGAAAAAGGAATGCGTGCGTGAATAGAGATTTTTTTTTTTTTTTTGGAGAAATGAACTGGGCCAATGGACCTCCTTACTTCCAGGCTATTGCTTGGGTTTTGCATGGGTTTTGTTTGGGTTTTGGGTAGATTTTTGGTTGAGTTTTGGATAAATTTAAGATTTTTTTTGGTTGAATTTTGATTGGATTAAAAACAAAAAAACCACTACTACTTTTCCAATTTTGAATCGCATTTTTCTTTTCTCCTTTTCACCTTTTTGCACAAACCTATAAAAAGTAAAAATTAAAGCAACTACTTAGGCACTTTTGTAAGTGAAAAATAAAAATAAAACTAAAAGTAATTGAGTTGAAATTAAGAAAAATTTAGTGTCTACGATTACTTACCTGGGATCTTCTCAACCTACAATTTCCTGCCATCCCTGGCCAATACGAATATGTCGTTCACGAAAGATCCCAGCATCCCGCTAGGAAGCACCTGAGGATTCAGAACCATCTTCAAGTAATGATCACCCACCTCTGGTATGCGTGTTTTTTTGTCAATACCTCATCGCAGACAGATCTATTGTGCGAGATTGCTGTCCGATCAGCAGCTGATGTTCAACTGATAACAGAAAAAGGTAAATTTAATTTTAAAATATTATGACATAACTCTGTAAAAAATGCATATATTATAAAATTAAACCATGCTCTCAAATATAAAAAAAAATGAGCTTAATTTAATTAGAATGGGCAGAAATCTAACTGAATAAGTGCTCTGTAAATGCCTTTACACTATGTAGCATCTTTCCTTTTCAGTTGAAGTGTTTCATACAAAAAGAAAAAAATTGTTTCCATCACCTTAGAAAAAACACTTTTTGCTTTCAAGGCCTAGTGCACCTGCACCATGCAAAGTACACAAACAAATGCACCATTTAGAAATGTAGACTACCCACATTTGGAAAGCAGCCACTCGATTATCCAGCGTCTTAACCTATGCATCGTCGTGAAAGAAAATTCAGGAAATCTCCCAGCAAATTAACCTAGACTACTGTAAAATGCATGTTCTGTAATTCATCATTAACAGAATTTTTGACAAAAAGGAGAAGAAATGAGTCTCCAGAATTGGGCTAGAATCCAGAGGCCTGTATTCAACTTTTTATATCCATTCATTTCTGGTAAACCATATAGGCCTCCTGCCCAGATATCCGATAAAGGCCATCCCCCAATAGTACAGAAAGTGAAAAAAAAAAAAAATTTTACCAAGGGCATATGACAAGCAGCAAAGTCTCTAACAAGTTTATTTGTAACAAGAACCATGCGTATAATCAGGAAAAGAATTTATCTTCTACCAGAAAAATAATCTTAATTAATGTAAAAAGAAAACCAGGAACGGAATTAGTGCGTAACCATATAATCTTCCCTAATTGTAGGATTACAGTCAAACAAGTTTATGTCGAACAAGTGTACCGTAGCTGGACAAATGATAGGAAACAAGGTCTAAAAACTTGGAAGGAATTCCCTGATTTGGCCTAGAGTAAGTTCCCAGATTATTGTGTGGATTTTTTTGCTCATAAAGTATGACCAATGATCATAGCTTTGGCTTCACTACCCCCCCTCTTCTTCCCTCTTTCTCTTTTCAAATTTACATCTTGCCAGACAATCTATTGCAATTTGCAATAGATTGCTGTGCGGTCATGTTGGTGACATAACCTCTAAACCCATTTCAAATAATTGATAAACATGGTAGTGGCTATCATCCTGGGAACATAAATCAGTAGGCGTATCATCCTTTGAAAGCTGCAATATAACAAAGAAAAGAACAGATATATGACATAGTGACACATGCACTTTGACTATTTTGAGAGACACAAATCGTTTGGAAACTGTAATCAGAACAGGCAGACCTGTTTTGAAGTGTACCTGCTGTGCTATTAATTTATCTATGCATATAGCAACATAGTTAAAATGATTAGATGTACGAAATGTTTATTGAGCTGTCTGGTTGTAGAGTTAAGGTTAGCAATTACCTATTAAAATTTCAGTGTTTACTTTCTTGGACACTGCAGTATTCAGTTGATTTTCTTCTGATATTTGGTACTTTTGTCCTCTTTATCTCTTCTCCCCTATTCCTTTTTAATCATCTTCCTTAAATCAATTGGTATCACAACCTCTGTTGTATACAATTTATTTACAGCAATTGTGTTAGTTTTCAATTTTTATTCTACATTTGTCTGCTGTTGCATGCTCAATCAGTATCCTGATGTTAGAGAGCTTTATGCTGTCCACTAATATACGGTTGCCTCCTCTCAGCCTTTGAAAGTTTTTGTATCTCTTTAAATTTAATTTAAACAAAATTTCAATACCATCATGCTGCAAGCAGTTTTGAAATGTAAATTTTCACTGGTGACATTGCATAACATTTATCACTTTTACTTTCCACAAATGGAGACACCATCCATCCTTGTCCTTTTATGTAAAGAACTAGCAGATTAAGATCCCAAGAAAAGGGTAATATGGATTACCCTTCAACTGTATCTTTGATTTATATTATGCTTCGTTTACGTTTCTTGAATATTTTCCTAACCGATGGAAAAATGATAGTCAAAGCTAAACAAAATTCTGGATTTAAAGAGAAGAGTTAGAGGGTTTAGGGAAAACTCATGATGATATACTCCCATAATAAGGATTTGACATATATAACTCTAAGATCCAATTCTGAAACCTTTTGACAAAAGATTAATAGAAGATGTTAGCAGGCCTAGTAGACATTTAGCATAGACCAAGGAATGACAATGGCAATGACACCCTCAATGGTAATAGATTTATGAGAATTCCTTTTTCTGAATATTATGTTTGGTATTTTCACCGCAATGGCAATCTACCAAATCTTAGTTTTATCATTTTTTTTCTTCATCTTTTGCTGCTTTTCCTTGTAAGTTTTGTTTTCCTTATTTTCCTCCCCCAGACTCTTTTTTACCCGTTTCGTCCATTATTTGGTTAATCCGATCTGCACCTTACGAGTCAATAATTTTCTAATGCTTACTTGCCACGTATATCAGCGAGTACTCGTTTATAAAATATCCACCGAATGAGCAAGCTTTTGTTACCAAAGATTCATCCCATTTCTCAGTGAAATATTCTGCTATTTGTAGAGGACAATTTGGAGGGAAGGACAGAGGGCAGCGGACAATGTGTCAGAGGTCACGTCTACTACTGTTCGGTTGTCAGGTCCTTGGACAGGACCTCGGTTGTAGTTGATCATAACACTGCCCCGAGGTGACCGCAGGATTGCAGAGACACCACGGTCATCAAGATGCCGGGTAAGGCTGAGGTGGTCACGACGGATGGGACCAATGTTCCGGAGTAGGATGCGGCCTCGGTTCATCCGAGCCGGAATGACCATCCTCATATCCCTTTCCCTATACCTGTCGTGTTGTCTGAGTGTCAAGAAAAAAATAAGATACATTTTTTTAGCCGAGATTTAGTCCAAATCGATGTCATTCAAAAAATTTAGAAGGTTTTATTTTCCTGTACGGACCCACATCTGTTACTTGCTTTCAGCGCAGTCAATGGAGAAATGAATATTCGGGACGAAAGTGGAATTGAATACTACGAAGACGGACGAAGAGGAAATGGACAAGTACTTGTAAACGTCAATGCTTCCTTTACTGATCAAGAAAAGACGAAGCATTTTTCAGTTCCATTCCTCGCACGATAATCGTATGAAATACGACCATTAGCGAATAGTTTTTTTCTCCGCCATTACTAGTAACAATAGACTTTTTTTTTCAAAATAATCCCACGTTAATTTAAAGTAATTAAAAATAAAAAACAGAGGATCATGTGTTTCCTGTAGCTTTCATCAGCTTTGTATTGGAGAGGATTACCCGGAGAAGAGTAAATCTGCTTCTTTCCATCTCTCATATATCCAAAAAAGGGTCTAAAGGGGTCTAATCTGTATAGGAATAGGAGCGGGTTGGGTACCCGTTTCGTCCATTATTTGGTTAATCCGATCTGCACCTTACGAGTCAATCATTTTCTAATGCTTACTTGCCCCGTATATCAGCGAGTACTCGATTATAAAATATCCACCGAATGAGCAAGCTTTTGTTACCAAAGATTCATCCCCTTTCTTAGTGGAATAATCTGATATTTATAGAGGACAATTTGGAGGGAAGGACAGAGGGCAGCGGACAATGTGTCAGAGGTCACGTCCACTACTGTTCAGTTGTCAGGTCCTTGGACAGGACCTCGGTTGTAGTTGATCATAACACTGCCCCGAGGTGACCGCAGGATGGCAGAGACACCTCGGTCATCAAGATGCCGGGTAAGGCCGAGGTGGTCACGACGGATGAAACCAATGTTCCGGAGTAGGATGCGGCCTTGGTTCATCCGAGTCGGAATGACCATCCTCATATCCCTTTCCCTACACCTGTCTTGTTGTGTAGTGTCAAGAAAAAAATAAGATACATTTTTTTAGCCGAAATTAGTCCAAATCGATGTCATTAAAAATTTAGAGGGTTTTATTTTTCCTGTACGGACCCACATCATGTTACTTGCTTCAGCAGTCAATGAGAAATGAATATTCGGGATGAAAACGGAATTGAATATTATGAAGACGGGACGAAGGCGAAAAAGGACAAGTACCTGTAAACGTAAAGCTCCTTTACTGATCAAAGAAAAGACGAAACATTTTCAGTCCATTCCCGCGATAATCGATGAAATTGGACCTATTAGCGAAAGAGTTTTTTTCTCCCCTTAAAGTAACAATAGGATTTTTTTTCCTAAATAATCACTGTAAATTTAAGTAATTAAAAATATAAAAACAGAGGATCATTGCCTGTAGCTGTCATCAGCTTTGTATTGGAGAGAGTTACCCGGAGAAGAGTAAAGCTGCTTCTTTCCCTCTCTCATATATCAAAAAAGGGTCTAAATCTGTATAGGAATGGGCGCAGGTCGGGTACCCGTTTCGTCCATTATTTGGTTAATCCGATCTGCACCTTACGAGTCAATAATTTTCTAATGCTTACTTGCCACGTATATCAGCGAGTACTCGTTTATAAAATATCCACCGAATGAGCAAGCTTTTTTTACCAAAGATTCATCCCATTTCTCAGTGAAATATTCTGCTATTTGTAGAGGACAATTTGGAGGGAAGGACAGAGGGCAGCGGACAATGTGTCAGAGGTCACGTCTACTACTGTTCGGTTGTCCGATCCTTGGACAGGACCTCGGTTGTAGTTGATCATAACACTGCCCCGAGGTGACCGCAGGATGGCAGAGACAACTCGGTCATCAAGATGCCGGGTAAGGCCGAGGTAGTCACGACGGATGGGACCAATGTTCCGGAGTAGGATGCGGCCTCGGTTCATCCGAGTCGGAATGACCATCCTCATATCCCTTTCCCTATACCTGTCGTGTTGTGTAGTGTCAAGAAAAAAATAAGATACATTTTTTTAGCCGAGATTAGTCCAAATCGATGTCATTAAAAATTTAGAAGCTTTTATTTTTCCTGTACGGACCCACATCATGTTACTTGCTTCAGCTGTCAATGAGAAATGAATATTCGGGATGAAAACGGAATTGAATACTACGAAGACGGGACGAACACGGAAATGG